ACACAGCAACTTACCAACTTGAAGCAGTTGCCCACTTTTGGAGGATAGAGAAAACGGATTTAAAGTTACGCTCGAAGTACCAGCTAAGCTTTCTTAAGTGTTGGACGGTTCTATCTGTCATTTTCCAAGCCCACCCATCCAAGTTTCATAAATCACACTTTTCAAGATTTACTAGCAAAAAAACTGCGAGCTTACAAATCGCATCTCAGAACCCATCGGATTTGGTATATGGTTGGGTTTAGATGGCTTTGAAAAAACTAGCAGAAGACGAGGAGGACTAGTTTTATTTCTTGAAAGGAACTGCTGCTAATGCAAATGTCAAGTCGATTTAACCTGGTTTTTTCAAGTACTCTCAGTCGGCAATTTTTCTAGGAAAATGTTTCGTTTCTGCTAGTTTTAAACACGTTCCCATTTTCCCCTTTAATGATGTAAAAACTTAATTTGACCTTTTGGAGGAGGGGAATGTTGAAATGTTCACTATTGAGTGACTGAAGAAGAGGAAACTACGACCTAGAGAACGTCTGATATTGTCCCAAATAGAAATATAAGAAAGAGAAACCAATAGTAGAATTGATGATCTAAAAGTCTACATTGTGATCCAGGGGGTACTCAAATTTGCCAAATCATCGAACCGCCTAGTGAACACCAAAAATGGGCTTGGTCGGTTTTTTGGGCAAAAATTCAGGCTTACTGGGTTAAAAACAAATTGTGTTTGGATTTCATAAATCTATGGGTATTGAGCTGATATAAATTTCTGCTAAAATCTAATCTTTCTTCTAACTGTATCTTCAAAGTGCGGTAAACTAACCTCTTGCTGAGTGAGACTTTTGTAAGAAGACCGTCTACTTTATCCCAGTGGCTAGCGCTAGATTTTCGTTCGCATTCGATGAGCCGTTGTTCAATCAGTTCAGCAAGAGCAGCATCCTGTTGATTTAGGAAAATTAGTGACTGAGGAAGCCTAACTTTGAGAATAATCTGCATTAAACTCAGAAAGATGACATTACAGTAAGCTTTGGTTGTCAGATAATGTTAAAAGGAGAATGAAACGGTTTTCAACGCATCAGAAGGTAAAGGATAACCTGATTCAGGGTCATCTGCTTCCAGGAAAGTTGGCCTATTCCTAATTAATTTTAACTTTATTTCTTACCTGCAAATCTGTTTAATGACAGCATTCAAGAGAAATAATAAATTGATGTACTAACCTTCCCTCCTTTTTGCAGATAAACGGGGAATTTCGCCCGGAACTTCTGTGCTATGTTTGAGAGATTCTTCTGACATGCTGAAAACACATTTATGATCCCTAGCCTCTCGAATTCTGCATGTATAGTTAAAGGAGGCCAACAAAGGCGCATATCACGCTTCGCTTGTTCCCCCAAAAAGGTACGCATCCAATTGTTGAAATATTCAAATCGTTCTACGCTTGAGGTCGCAGCCGCTTCGATGGATTTCGGGGATTTGCATGTGTCGTAGCAATTCGACCAACGATACGAGATCGCTCACTGATTGTTATTGTGAAACAGGAACAAAGTGAAAGCAGAGCGGAAGCGGAAGGTTAGTGTCATGCGCGCACATGTGATCCGATCTTGAAATATAACCCAGGAATTCGCTTAAGAATCTTTGAAAATGAAAATCCGGCAGGTTTCTTCAAAAAAGCCGAACAGTCCCTGATTTCTATGGAAAAATGTATCTAAAGAGAGATATTTGTTCTAAAATTGAGCAATTTCCTATTACTTTTTCTATAAATGTGTAGAATTAGCGACACATATGATGTAATTGCAC